CTGATGGTGGAACATCTTTCTACAGCTGATGGTGGAACATCTTTCTGGGGTTTTCTTGTACATTATCCGAGAAGCTCCAATTTCATTTCATCTTTTCGTGATTGTTGAGCCCAAAGTGAGGATGTGACAGGAGCAGGAGATGGCAAGAAACCGCTGGCAGGGTTAAGTAGCTGTTATTTTTTTCACCTCGCGCCTCCTCGACACGTTTTCTTTTGCATATTTGTGTTGCAGGAATGTTTCTCACGTTGGATGCCAGTGGGCTTCACCTCGTGTTCGATCACAGCTTCCTTAAACGAGCTCCTAAGTGTGTTGTTCCAAACAGATTGAGCAGGAAAACACGTCTCTTTATGTCTTTATGTAACAGGCATGATGGTATTTACAGAGATCTGTAGGAGCTGTGATGTATGTTGATGATATGTATCTGGGACGAGTTAACCGTTCCACCACCAGTGGGATTTGAGCTGTACAGTGACGCCCCACTGGTGGATTATATATGTTCTCTCCTCCTTCTGGTTTTGTTTTTCAGTTACTGCTGATTTTTACTGGAAATGTTTGCATCACATTTTCACCAACCATCACTTTCTAGCTTTCAATGAGCTGTAGCTGTGCTGAGCAACTAAAACCAACCGCACTAACCGGGAAGGATTTGGGGTTTTGTTGTGTTCATGTACGTTTTTTGGTGCAGAATCACCATTTGGTCAGTTTACTAATGCAATATACAGTAAAACAGAATGTGCTGAATGATAAGGACTAGATTGACAGCTTTGACGCTGAGCGAGGCAGGCTGTATGGGCTCGCTGTTCTTTGTTTGGGCTGTGAAAATGGGCATTTGAAGTGTTTCTAGGCCGCGAGAATTCAAATTAGCGTTGGAAAAAAAAAAAAGGTGTTTTCATTAGAGCGGCTGACAGAAATGACCACATTGTCTGTAACTGTCACGAGGTCTCAGCAGCTCTTCAAGCGCCCGTCTGTGGAGTAATTACATCCGCATTGTATAAGAACCCACACGACACATAATCGACTTCCAATTAATCAAACTGCTCCAAGTAATTTCTCAGTAATTCAGCCTCGCCGTTTTTTCTTTGCTTGCATGTAATTGTTCTCGATACCGTTTCTTTCTGTCCGATCATCTCTCTGAGCTTGTTTTTGGTTGTTGATCTCAGAGAGCCGATCCGTTTTGATCTCAGTATTTAACCTGTATGAAGGCGTGTAATTAGGTGTGATTTAGAGACTCAAATAACTAAATAATACATCAACAAAGACCAGCATGGCCTCAGACAGACAGTCGCAGGCTTTACGGTGCTCCTGCTTCATTTTTATTTATTTTATTCACTGCCATATAAAATCCTGCAGCTCTGTTGCTTTAAATGTGCTGCTGTATGGAGCAGAGAGAGCA